GGGGGGGCGGGTGGCAGGGGGAGATGTGTTTCCCCACTAGTGACTAAATCTTAAGATTAATCACTAAACAGCCGTCTAAGGCAGGAGGTAAATTCATTTAGACTCCCTGGCTAGCACTGGTCTAGCTCAGGGTGAGCTGCAGGCACATTTCAAGCTGCAGCATGTGAAGACACTGTCAGAAACACCCTTCTGTTCAAATATTTATTAAACTGGAAAATTTTATGATAGGGTGGGTTTATGTTACATATAATCATAGTTCACAAAGCCTTTCCTTAGGTAAATAGTTATGCCAGGATTAGCTAGGAGGGGGGACTGCTTTGAAGGGTCAAGGCTGTTGGACCTCTGTCACTCACGTTTGGGTTGCATCTTAACAAACATGTACAGGAAATTGTCTTTAAAATTAGCATTTAAAAATGAACTGGGGTGTTCATCCATCATTGTTCAAACACATCCTCCCTTTCCCAGCACTTTGAATATAACAGCATGAAGGAAATCTGGCTTGGTTCTGCTCCGCTGCTTTGCTTTGACGTCAGACACGGGAAAGTTATCCCTCAAAACTGTACAAAGGAGACAGACAACAGCAACCAGCACTGGGATGTCCAGGAGGTCAGTAGTGGCTCTGCCATGGGAGAAAGGCTCATGGTGACTGTGGGATCACTGGGTGATTTCAAGATTTGTGTGTGAGGAAGGGATGAGGTACCTGAAGGGCAAATTTCACTTCTGTACCTTTTTCACACAGAAAAATTAGGATGCCTCTTGCCCACTAACACTGTCTATGTTGGTTTAGAAACAAAAACTACAGAAATCCTACCTAACATCCTATGTCTTTGTTTTACCTGTTTGTCTTACTGGCCTTACAGGAATAGAATCAGAATCAGTGGTTGTGAAAATAAGAGCAGGGCAAATCCTTTCTCATTTCTTTCAGACTGAGGAAGGGTTTGGAAATCCTGACCCCTCCCAAACGAGAGCCCTTTGTGGAGCTTTTAATGGGAAACATTAAATTTTCTCCTGCATTGTAAGAGAAGAGCAAACTTCCTGTTAAAGGAATTCACTGTTTTTCAGTGAACTTTGTACAGCAGAGCAGGAACTCCTCAACAAGACTGAAAAATGTCATGCTCTGGGACAGCCTGGGAAAATAGCAGTTACTGTAGTTGTAGGGATGCATCAATCCTCTGGAACAGTCCTACTATAATTTGGTTTGATTCCTAAGGCAAGCACTGGTCCTTATGAAATGTTGTTGCCTATAGTGCTGATGCTGGTGCTGATCAGAACCTGTAGCCATAGGAAAAAAGAGTGGTGGGAAAGAACTCTGCACCTACCACTCATGTTAGCTTCAAAAGGAACTATGAATATTCACCATGCTTTGGGCACAAAGCTAAATCCAGTCACTGTGTTTGGAGAATTGCTTAAAAAAAACCCTTTAACAACCAGTTATTACTGGTGATATATTGTATATAAATTTTCTGAATCATGGCCTAGCTTTTACTAGGAATCCCTTACTTTTAATTTGTTCTTTCTTTCCCTTCTTCTCTCATCTTGCAGAATGGAATGATTGTCCATGTCCTTTCTGGCAAATGCATAGAGGCACCAAAGAGTGAAGATGAGAAGGACTTGTTTCTGGGTGCATGTAACAAGAATGCAAATCAGGTGTGGCAATTTGAACGTTCCCATGGGCTACGTCAGAGGTGACTGACAAGTCTCTGCAGAGGTCAAGTCTCCAAAGTTCAACATTACTTCTGCTTGGGATTTAAGATGCATTTCCTGCAAGGACAAGAAAGACGTTTGTGTTTGCTGTAGCATGCAGTGAAGTCAGGAATGTCTCTTATTTAAAAGCCTGGCTCCTGGTTAATCCAGCTCTAGCTAAAATTTCTATTTATTCTGTGAAGCATGGAATAGAGACATTGTGAGAATCAATAAATTCTCAACTCTGCTATTGCAGAAGAGAGTTAAGTTTGCCCTTTGAAGGAAACATTGAAAATTGGCTGCCAGACAGCTTGTCTTCAGTATATGCTGTGAGTTCTGAAGATACAGGAAAAAATGTGAGATTTTTGAAACTGTAAGAGGAAGCCAGCCAAACCAGGACAGGAGTTTAGCCTTGTTTTACAGTGCCCTTGACTCATATAAAACAAAGTAGGTTTTGTATGTATAAAAGTAATAGATGTTTCCACTTGTAATGGCAAAAATTTTGTTTTCCAATTAGCCTGAGCCAAATTTCTACTCTCTGTGAGATTACATAGAACATAAATTAACACTTAATCAGGCACTAAATGCTCTAATTGACTTGGACTACTCACAGTCCTCGGCGTTTGGCACACCCTTCCTTAAATCCTTGTCCACAGTCTAATTTGGATGGGAGAATGAGACTGAAATATTAACAAATTTTTGTTGTTGTTTTAATTATGTTTAAGGACAGCTTGTCCGGAAACTTTTGTAGCAGTAAGGAGGGTAACAACTTCTCTGCTTATTTGGGAATAGAAAGAATCAGCAGCATCCATTTGTTTTTGTAAAGGCATGGGATGAGCTTACTATTATTATTATTATTCTTATTATTATTACTAGTATTATTATTATTATTATTGTTGCAGTAACAGAAGTGCTGGCTGAAAACAGCAAGTGAAGAGAAACAGCCAGTTTCAACTGTGGCTACCTAGGAAGAAAATACTGGTTTTCTTCCATTTGCTTGCAGCTTGAGTTAAGTCTTTCAAGCTGTCAGTTTTAGCCAAGAAGATTCTGCAGATTCTTGCTGTCCTGGGTCTCCAAAATTATCCTGAAAAGACCAAATTTTCTGAAGAAGCTTCTTCTGTAGAGCCTGCATTGCTGCTGACTTGCTGTCTTTCAAAGGAGTCAATGAGAGATGAGGTTCAGTAACAAGAATGCTCTCACACAGTATGAACTTAGCCAAACAAACTTCCACTTCAGTGTCTCATTACGGTACTTTACTTTTTGAAGATAAAGTCAATAATGCTGACACCTTCCAAGAGCCTGCTAAGACAGAAGAACAAAGATTTGGAAGTCTTCCCACACCAACACCACATCTGATTTATAGTATAAATCAATCATAGTCCTATGCATGCATTAAAGAGGGGGACACCATTAATGAAACTCACTTAGGTTTTGAATTCTTTTCAAGAGACAGAGATTTATGGGGTTTTTTTAAATATACAGCACATTGTTCAAAAGGAAGGAGTAACAGATTATTCTGCTCAGAGCCTTCCAGTCACCTGCTCTCAGTAAATCATAAAAATTGGTATCAAGCATATAAAATTGGTTACAACAGAGGACATGAAGAGTATTCTCTGTGGTGTTGTCCAAAACATTTTCCAGTCTCTAACCCTCTGTCTACTTTAAGTGCTACAGATTCCACACTGTGTTCAGGCATCACTTCAATCATCTTGATTACCACTTATGCTTTCTTTGATAGCATCAGAATCTATTACTATTTCTGCTGTGTCACTTAAAATTTCCTTTGACATTCTGGAATATGCTTTAATTTTCAGCTAAGATGATGTTAGCAACCTTTTCCAGAACACGAAGTGATCTCTGACCACTGCCCAAATCTAGGGTGAGAAAAGAGAATTTTTTGAATTGCATAAAAGCTGAGTAAAATGCTGTTTTAATGACGTGTGATTCCTTTATTTTAAATTATGAGTATGCCAGAATTTTAAATTATGTATTATTTATTATATTTTGGACACTACACTGGGACCATAATTCCTTCAGAATTTAGGTAAATGTTAAAAAAATGTGTATAAAAATACAGTAATTGACCACAGGTGATATTTATCACAAAGAAGAATGAAAAGAGTTTTGGTTTAGAGAGGAAATGTTTGGAATTTCAGAGACATGGACATCTTCATTTATACTACTTCTTAATATAGTGATAAAAACCTAGAAAATAAGGTTTTCTGTAGATACATGTACAATAGAAAAATATGTTACCTAATAACTCTTTGAAAAATAAAATGAAAATCTATGGCACAGTACCATTCAGAAAATAATTGTTAATGCACTTGTTTCACTTAGTAATGGAGTAACTGTGTGTTTGGTTTCCAAGGGAACTAAATTCCAGAGCATGGGCCAGAAGGGAGCTACAAGGTGGTCTAGGAGGTCTCTGTAGCGAGGCAGCCAGGGGACACGGATTGTGGAGCATGCTTCCCTCTAATATAAACATAACTTACTACACACAAATTAAAAAACCGAAGGGAAACCATCTATCCCTGGTTTTCCTATTTTCCTTCCCATATGGCTTTTAAATAGATTGGTGGTTGTACCAATACTGTTTCCTCATTGTGGTCATTTAGACTTTGCCCCTGTGGTTACATCCATCAGCTAAACTCTTCTCCTCATGGAACTGGGTGCAAAAAAGAGTGCCAGCTAAGCTTGCTGGTATGTTTTTCTCATTTTTACCCATCTTTCATGCAATACTAGCACACAATGATACTTTGAGCACCACAAAACATGGAATTATTTTCAATTCTTTATTTAGACAAGGTCAACATTTCAGATTCCACTAATTCCCATGACAGGAGAGAAACATAAGGACAAGATGTTTCATGTAAGAATGAAGCAGTTTAAACTTTGAAGGCCTCCAAAGCAGAGCTTCAGGCAAGAGCAAAGGAATTCCAGCATAACACAAATAAATATCTTATAGTGTAACTCCACCTGTTTCTTCGAATTTCGCAACCCAAGCACAGTGAGTGCTTTGAGCCAAACCCACCCATGAAGCTGAGCTAAAATGTCAGATTCAAGAACAGGTCACCTTTTGGTTGACAGCGCTTACTAAAAAGCCTAGTTTACTCCTCTCCCAGCTCATGGTAAATGGAAGAAAATAAAGATTTGAAATATTATTCAAAGTACTTTTAAACTGAGCCCCAGCTGATGCCGTTGGTGTTGGTCATAGGCTGGAGTTTGTCCTGATATGTGAGGTGCCACCACTGGCACAGAGAAACAACGGCAGCATTTCTCTCCATGTGTTAATTTGAAGTCTAAACAGGGAAGGAAGGTTTATCAACCTTCATGCTAAATCCTGTAGCACAGAAATGTTGAGGGTATCTCTCAGCCCATGTGTAAGTGCTTCCAGGTCCTGCCTTGAAGATGTTCATTTAGCTGTAATACTGTCTGCTGATTAAAATGCAATAGCTTCAATTTCTGATATCCCCAGGAAAGAATGGAGCTATGTTCAGGCATCCTAGACAGGAACAGTAACAACCTAGGTTTCCATAACAGTTAGAAGGTTACATGTGAGTGAGAGCTTTTAGATTCTGAATTTGTATCTCATTTTATCTCAAGCAGTTTGATTCAAACTGCAAACATATTGGAAGAGAGTACAAAAAGGAGTGTTTTGCAAATAGGTAACATGTTTTTAAGCTCATGTTTTTAAGCTATGCAAACTGCACGTGTCTGCCCTGAATAAAGTGTATTGGTGCACAGAGAAACATATTTTTATTTCCTTCATTGAGTTATGATTTGTTAATGCCTTATTTTTCTCATGCTGCAGCACAGCTGGTCTGCAAAAAACCCATCAGAAACCATCCAGTGGCAATACCCTCATTCAGCCATCAGACATCATAAGACAATCTTACAGAAAATTACAGGACTTGCCCCTATCAGCATCTTAGAGGGGGTTTGATTTTGCAGACCTTTGCCATCATTTCCACTGGTTTCATTGGAATGGTCTGAATAAGAACTCCAAATGCAGAGTCTCTGGGAAGCATGAATTCCAGCACACCCCTCAGGCAGCTCACAGCTGCTTATTCACCAGGTGGTTTGGAAGGATGTTTTGGAAAAACAGTCTGGCTACATGACTTGGAATAGCAGCCATAGTGGTTTTGCTATCTTTCTTGCTGCTAATTATTTTTTTATTTTTTTTTAATTATCTATCACTCTTGGGGATGATTATGCTTTAAACACATGGAACAGGATTCACCTCTGTTAACTGGGGCCACCTGAACAGTAGTCACAACTGAGGTAGTTGTCTAAGTTCCTCCTACTGGTGAGCAGAGAACAGTTCCAGATGTAACCAGTGACAAGTATTTAACCAACATGTGTAAATCACTAGCTTGCTTTCTCTACTGATTAGAGAGGCGTTCTTGATTAATTTAGATGTCATGTATAAATTTTAAACTGGAGTTAAGTGGAAGGAAAATAATCCTAAAGGGTACCCAGGCTAAAATCCCTTCCAGGAGCCCAGCTTCAATGCCCAGCTCTTCCAATTCCCCCAGGGTCTGGCTTTAGGCACAGAGATGAAGGCCAAGAACAAACGTGCTATCATCTGCAGTTTCCTCAAATGAGTTAAATCCAACAGCACACTTTTCCAAGATAGCTTCTTTGTTCCCAGACTGAGAGACCACACTGTGTAGGATGCTTTGTTAAAGAATGATCTAGTCCCAAAGGAGTAAGAATTTAAATTTTCAGAAGTGTCTCTATAATACTTTGAAGATGTTAACTCTAATATTAATAATAAATCTTCTGTATCTTTCTGCTGACTAGGCTGGAAAGCTGCAGCAGAATTTTCACAACATATACACATACAGATACAGGTTCCAGGATTGTTTGCAAGCTTGAACCTAAGTTACAGACAGACCAGTCTGAGGGCTGAATGCACTACTCAGTTTCTAAGTAGCTGCACAATGACCTTTCTTAGAGTCTATGGCCTTTGCTAATACTATCGTGATATTTATTTACACCAATGGTAATGTTGTGTTATAAATTGAGAAAAAAGTGAAAGTAATTAACTTTTCTAAAATTAGCATATTATAAAAATACTAAATATATTTTTAAATATCTAATCTATTTTGTGGAATTACTCAAAAGATTGCTCCTGCATTTATTAGTCCCTCAGTCTTACAGACTGATAACAAATAATCTAATAATGTCACTTACATTGTTACAGGCATAAATGAGTTTTAAAGGATTACATCCCTTAGTATTATATTTTTCACAGCATTTTATTCACTTTTTATTATGCTATTAGGTGAAAACTGGTTTTTTTACAATCTCTTTTTTATTGCTTAATGTAATAATTACACAAAAAAATTAACTGCAGGTCTGAAAGAAAATCAACTGGTACTTCGATGTATCAGGAGTTCAAGGTGGAGAACATCAGATATGTTGAGTACAAGCCCTTGGGAGGCTGCTTCTGTAAATCACCCTTTATACATCTAGTTTGGGATTACTGAACAAACCAAAAGTGGTCAAAAGCCATAGCCAAATCAAAATGTTTGATGCAAACATGTCACACCGAGACAACAGGTCATTGTATTAGTGTCGTCTTCTTTTGCTTTCCCTCCTGTTAGCACACACTTTGCCTGCTTAGAAATCAAGAGCCAAGCAGTGAACAGAGTTTAATAATCAAAATATTTCAAGTGGGCAGACATGTAGGATTTATCATGTCAATAAAAAATAAGTCTTGCAGTAAATTTCACATTGGACAAGTTGTCTTATAAACCCCTGGCTTTCTGTTGTCTTACCTAGTTTGTGTATGCGTCATACTCATCAAAAACTTACCATCTGTGGTGGCAAGAGCTGTCTTCACTTACAAATCAGTCAAAAAACCACAGAGCCAGGAAGACCACTTAGTCTGGCTGAGCACTGATGCTCCCTGAGCCCATGCAGTCCTGCTGATGGATCCCTGGCTGCCACAGCAAGCTCCCAGACAATGGTGAGAGCCACTTCTTCAGGGCAGTTTGCTGTTGATTCCTTTACTTGCAGAAGCAAAGGAAGCATTAATTTCCTAGTGCAGCAACCTGCGGTCAGTCTGTGGTGTCTGCATAGATTCACACACGCACAAGCCCAGGAGCAGAGCCTGGTGCTGACGCTAAGGAAATAACTTTGAGTTTGGCGTTTTGGCTCCAGCTCCTGCTGTTGGAACAACCTTCTGTGTGCAGCCCGTGACAGAACTCTTAAGATTCTCTAGTGCCAAGAACAACTCTTAAACCAGTGATGAGAGGAAAGGGTGAAACAAAATAGGTCTTGACACGGGAAAAGAACTTGATAAGCAAAATAAGAACAATGAGACCATAATTTGCTAATTACACAATGTCTGTCTTTTCTATAAAACATACAATTTTGGCAGTTTCATTCAAGATTAGATGTAACATGATGCTCAGACTTGGCAGATAGTGGTGATTCCATTTTGAGGAGTTTCCAAGCTTTCTGAATTTGGTTTCAGTGTGGAACAAGACCCCCACCATTTCCTTTGCTCTCTGGAACAGAGCTGGAATAGATGAGAGAGGTCCCCAAGTCAGGTTATCCATGGCAAGGTGCTGGGCTCTGCTTCCTTGTCACCCATCATAAGAAAGAACCTTTCCTCTGGGCTGTCTTGCTTTCAATATGCTGGCAAAATTTCAATGAAAAATTGTTTGTTTTTTTGCTGCTAGCCCTTGTGAACATGTCTACAACAATTACATGCCAGCAAAGACTGCAGACTCAGCAAAATGAGGAAAATCAATATTTGATTTTTAATGGAGAGAAAGAATAAAGAGGCAGATGGGAAAAGGAGAATTTAATTTCAGTTCCCAGCTACCTCCATCAATTTCTTTCTATGGCACTGGAGCACTGCAGAACAACCCAACTGGGCTACTACAATAACAGAAGCCTCAGGTTTCTGTTGCAACTACTGGTTCCTAATGACATGCCTGTCAGGGAAAGGCTTTTTTACATTTTCATGTGTAGAACTGAATATATTTGCTTCCTAAAGTGGAAGCAATGAAAATGAGAATGAGGATGGCTCATGAAATGACTGTCAACCTCAGCAGCAGAACTGAACCCAGTACATAAACAATTGACAATCTCTGATTGGAGTTCAAAGTTAGGCCACTTTGTTTACCAGAAGATGTTGCTGTGTTTAGTAGCAACTAATTGCAGAAAGGGTTTTGAAGTTTGTGATGTAATTTTTTTAAAAAAACTCAGTCCTAGGCCTCTGTAGCAGTGTCAGATTCATTGCAGTTGATGTGTTGATTTAAATAAAGTCACAGCTATTCGCAGAAACAGCTTACATAAAAATGTCCATTTTCAAATATCCTTCGTTTTTACTTAGAATTAGTTACTGTATTAGAGGGAAAAGCACGAAAACATGATTCAAAGGGCAAGAAACCTAAAAAAAGCAATGTAGATGTCTATAACTACCTGAAAGACTCCAGATCATAAAGTGACCTTATGAATTTCAGAAACTTGGTGATTTTTGAGCACACTGGATTTAAAGACAGCATGCCAAGGTAGAGAAATGTGACTTCTAAACTTTTGGGTCCAATTCTGATGCCTTTCCTTCATTAACATTAACACAAATACATGCTGTCCTCCACAATGAAGGCTTCAGGGACCACACACTCAGGTCCAGCTTGTGAAAATCTTCTAGTCCCAAATTAATAGGTATGTTTTGTCTCCATTCTTTATTGCTTTTAGGACCTCTGGTGGCAAAAAGGCTTTTGTAGAGATCATCTGGAAAGCAATAGTATGGTCATGAACTCCAGCCAGTAAGAACTGAATGTGAAAATGGCATTTAATTAAAATACTGGATTTTCTCCAGAAAGAATTATCTCACCTTCTTTCTCTTTATATACAGCATATTGCAAAAAGAATAAACTGAAACATACCTTGTGAAGGAAATTATGCTTTTGTGCTAACCAAGGAACATCATGGTATGCTGATTTTTAAAAAAAAGCACTCCCTTCCAGCACCCCAAAAAACATCCTACTATTCTTCTGTGCTCAAGTGTCCAAATACAGGGCTCCTACTGCCTAACTCAATGGAAGACTGAAGTCGGCTAGGAAAATGTCCAAGACATAAAATACATTCATAGCTACCGGTGACTGTTATTTCATGCATGTCAGTAATCTTTTTAGCAAACCCTCAATTACTGATATTTCATTATGGGGTTTCAAGGTGACTCTGGATGACAGGTAAAAACACAAATTTTCTGCTTCTCAGTAGGAAGTCTGATAAACATTGGAAATGTACTGCACACCATGAAAACCTGTCCCTCCAGATAACTCCCATTTTCACTCTTGACAACAAAAAAATGTTGGGTTTTGTCTGAACCCTTTGCCAGATCATTGCAGCTGTGCCAGTACTGTTAAAACCCATCACCTTTGTGGATCTAGGATTTGTATCTCTAAACAAAAGAGCATATTAAGCTGCAAAAAGGGAAAGACAAATTTATACCCGCTCCTATACTGTCTCATCAGTGCAACTCTATTATTAAAAATGTTTAAAACACACCTGCAAAATAAATAGCAAAATTAGTAAACCCCCTACATGTGGAAAAAGTCTACAGCCATCAAGAACACAGGACAGCCATATGCTTTCTTTTTTCTTGGTTTTGGCAATAGAAAGACAGTCCTAATGGATAACACAGGAGAGCAAGTACCAGCAGAAGAGACAAGATGGTGGAGGTATTTCTCAGACAGTGAGAATGTGCAGGTGGTCATTTGTTCCACCAA